CCCGAATGCTGTTGTTATTTTGAACATGTTTGGAGCTGAGCATATTCAGTAATTACAGGGGAAATACCAACATAAACCAGTGTGGGCACAGGTTGATAGCATTAATGTGCTGCTTGTGGAGTCCATAAATGAATCTTATATAACATCTTTTATAGGCAGATCTTGAGAAGAGACTGCCCTGATCTTCCAAAATGTGGTCACTTTAATTGTAAGCCAAATTAATTGGGAGATAGAATTTAAAGAGAAAAATTAAAACAGGAATGAGAACTGTTTAAAATTACTTTATTAGATGCCCCTAAATCCATCCTCTTTTTAAAAGCATCTTCCATTAGCAAGGATGTGAAAATAGCTATAAATACCTATACATAAATAGGAAAAAAAAGAAGCTGATTGTGACTAACATGAAACAAAGTGGAGAACTGCAGAAAAGGTATACTGGTAGTAAGATGACATGAGAAGAAATCTATGGCTAAAAAGAGTTAAGAAAAGCAAGGAGTTTCCTAGATATACTAGGTACAAAAGAACTCTTACAAATCACTAAAAGGAAATGGTATCATAGTCAATAACAGAGAAGAGGATGGAGTGTTCAATAAATATTTCTGTTCTATGTATGAGAAAAAGCCAAATGACACATTCCTATATGGTATTAATTAAACTCTTTCTGTTCAGTTAACTAGGGAGGATTTTAAACAGCAACCATTAAAGCTAGACTTCTCTAAATCATCAGGTCCTAATAATGTACATCCAAGAGTTTATAAAAAGCTGGCTGAGGAGTTCTCTGGACCATTAATGCTGACTTTGTTGTTTGTTTGTTTGTTTAATTAGTCTTGGAGGATAGGAAGTTCCAAAGAACTGGAAGAAAGCTAATGTGCTAATATCTAAAAAGGGTAAATGGGACAACCTGGGTAATTATAGACCTGTCAGCTTGACATCTCTTCTAGGCAAAATAATGGAACTGTTCGTCTAGGACTTGATTAATAAAGAATTAGAGAGGATGGGGGGTAATGTAATTAATGCCAATCAACACAGGTTTATGAAAAATAGATCTTGTCAGAGTAACTTTGATAACTTCCTTTTGTTAAGATTAAAAGTGTGATAACTAACAAGATTGATGCCTATACTTCTGTAAAGCATTTGACTTGATACCACACGGAAGTTTTTACAAGAATGATGCACAATAAATGTAGCACATGTTAAAAAGCATTTAAAACTGCCTTACTCAGAGGTTCCAAAGGATATAAATAAGTGAGCATAATCAACAGACTGCATTTCAAGTGGGGTCCTTAGGAAATCCATTCTTAGCCCTGTGATAGCTAACATATTTATCAATGACTTGGAAGAGAAGCAAAATCATTGTTTATGAAGTCTGAAGTGATGGGGTGAAAAATAATGCAGAAGCCACTGATATAGTGGCTTTGGGATAGTTTGGCAGCTGGGAGGCCAGGGGGCTGTGGGTGAGGGGCACCAGCAAGGCTGGTGGGGGGCGGTGAGAAGGGAAATTAGAGGCACAAGCAGGGCCAGGGGGCTGTGGGGGAGGAGTGAATATCTGTGTTCTTAAAAGGAAACCCATTTTTTTAATGGAATCAGTTAATAGAATCAAATCACCATTTCCCAAAGTGATTCCAGTAAGAGGAATCCACTGTATTATTACTGTATTTGACAACGGTGTGGCTGCTCCTGGGATGCTATGCCTACCTGAGTGTTCACTATTTCAAATGATGCTGATGAAACTGCAAAAGACTTGGAGAAGAGCCTTGAGAATGATTAAAGGCTTGAAAACCCCCCCCAATAGAGTAAAAGATTCAAGACCTTCTATCTGCTCAGCTGACCAAAGATAAGTTTAAGGAATGATTTGACCACATTCTACAAGTACCTACACAGGGAAGGGAAAATTGATACTAGAGGCTCTTTAGTCTAGCATACAAAGATTGAGCAAGGGCTAGTATTTTGAAACTTGAAGCTGAATAAAATCAGATTTGGAAATAAGGACTACATTTTATAATACCTGGAGTAATTAACCACTGGGACAAGTTACCAAGGACTGTGGTGGATTTTCCATTAATAGAAATGTTTAAATTAAACTAGATATTATTTTCTTCCCTAAAAAATGTTCTACTTCAGAGAATCTATTTGGGGGAGTCCTATGTCTAGCATTAGATAAGAAGTCAGACTAGATGATCATATAAGACAAAGCTTTGACTAAGCCTTCAAGGCCTGCCTTTCTGGAAAAGAATTAAAGTCGGTGGGGGGAGGGATTTAGATGTGGAGAAGAAGAACTAGGTCTTTGGCATCCTGCTTCATAGTCCTAACTTATATTTTTGATACAAGTAACATAATGGGGCATCCAGTGGTTAAATTAATGTGCATAAAGTGTTTTGAGATTTAGGTGGAAAAGCACTATGAAGTACCAACTAATAATGTTTTCCTAACTGAAGCTTGTCAAATGCTAACATAAATTGTTACTTGGAGAATTTTTGACCCAATACATTGTAGAAAGCCCCCAAGAAACTTCTCACCTCTCCTTGATGTGATGCATCTGCTATAAAATGCTGTTGCATTCTCTCCTGTCATCAGTTTTCAAACAGTAATTCATCCCTGTTCCTATTAAACACTAAAGGGATCTTAATCAACAGTAAAAGCCTCAGCTTCCAGAATTCATAGGTTTTTTAAAAAAAGTCTACTTCAAGTTTTAGAAATGCAGGAAAACTTCAAGTTGCTGGGGAAATTTGATACAAGGATATACTGTAGAACATAATACTTTCTTTTTTGTTTATATTGACAACCCTAGTCTGGAATTTTCTATTTCTGTTGTGTTAGCCTTGGCATACTATTTCACCATTTCAGATTAACTCTTTTACTATAATATTCTACAGCATGACTGTTCTTAAAATAAGGTGAAACTTCAGTATGCAGTTAAGGTATATGGGCCCAATAGGGCAAAGTAACTGAATTCTGGACACCTGAAATTTGTTGCCCAACACAGACACCTAAAACTAGAAAGCATTCCTAATACTTTGGACTTAATATACATTTGGTGGGTACCACGTTTCTTCATGTACATGTTACGAACATCCCAATAGTATAAATGGATCATACAGTAATTGGTCTTAACTTGCTTCTATATTAGTTCCCAATAGTTTTTTTCTGGGGCAAGTCTAAGGCCCTAAACCCTATGTTCCTAAGGGACTGCCTTCTCCCTCATGCCCTGTTACAATCCCTAAGGTCATCCAAGAGTAACATACTACAAATATCAGTACATTAAGTCTGCCTGGTGAAAATGCATGGGAGATCATTCTTCCCAGTTACTTCCCAGCTCTAGAACTTCTTGCCTCTTGAGGCTCACCAGAGCCCAAGCCTGGATATCTTTCAGAAGCTTAGTAAGACCTTTCTACTGAGGGACGGCATTTACCAAACAGCTAGGAGGAGATGTTGTTTACAGGGTCTCTGTCCATATCTTGGCATGCTGGTTCCCCTTAATGTTGTTTTTGTTCTTTTATCACTTCCCTATTTTAAGTTATTCTGTTTTCTTACTGTAAGCTGCCCTGAGCCTTTGTTGGGGAAGGCGGTATACAAATCAAGTAAATAGTATCCTTCGTGCTGCAATTTAAGTCCATGGCATTTAAAACACACCAAATCAAAATGCCAGAATTTCGCTGATCAATTCATGTAAGGGATTATATAGCACAGCTGCTGTATAATCAGTATTTCGGGCAGTCCTTTGCAGTACTAAATTTACATTGTTAGATGGCAAGTGAAGAATGGGGCTTCACATGTTTAACCACTTGCATGTGTGGGACTCCATCTAGCAGCGAGTCATGAGCCGTCTGGTTATACTACTGGATATTCAGAGTGTGTAGAGGAGGCTACTGCAATTGGGTGATGTCCCATGAGCAAGTGCTTTGAACCATGAATGAAAATTGTACAGATCTGGAAACTTTCAAATCTGCATTACAGCTTTCATGTCATTTCTTCTCTGTCAAGAATAAAACTGAAGGCAATTGTTTACATCTGATCTCTAATTTTAAAAAGTTCTGCTTTTGCTCTCAGCAAGAACAAATATTCTTTAAGCAGGAGATGAGTTGGTTTTGTTCCCAGGACTGTGCAGCCTCACCATGACTTAAAATTTAAGCAGTATAGTATGAGAGGTATAAAGGGTGCAATCCTGTGTATGTGTGCACACGTGTTTGTGTGGCTAATGTTTTTTTTCCTAATCCACTGAAGGTTTCAGTCATTTAGTTCAATGACTAAGGATGAGTTTCTACAAACCTAATAGTGTTCATGTCATTTCATGAGGGGTTCAACATGCACTACAGTTCAGAATTGGAGTCAAAGATGTGGAAACCCCCTTTCTCAAATAAACCTGAACTACAAAAATCACTAATAATACCTTGTTAATGAGAGTTTTAATATGTCTGAATGGGGCAAGCTGGGTCTCATACTCTTTCATGTTTAGTAAATGGGCTGGCAAAATATGGAGTGTGTGTACACCCCATAATCATATCATACCACTGTCCCCTTACTGGACTTTGAGAAGAATTCCCCTGCTTGTGGTAGTCTTCTCCTCTGAGACCCAGTCCTGTCTCCACCTGTGTTTGACTCTTGCTTATGCAACTCTATTCCTGGAAGAACCCTTTTTACCTTGCAGCACCTTCACTTTTTTCAAATGCTTCTTTAAAACCCACCTCATCAGAAAATCCTTCTTTTTTACATTTTGTGACCCCATAGCTTTTCCTGTTCTCAGCTGTTGCCCCTTACCTTATCTTATTGAGACTGTATGCTTCTCAAGAAAGTAAGTGCTTTTACCCTACTCTCTGACCTGCCATGCAAATATATCACACTATATAGACTGATAAGTTGAGAACCTATTTAAATGCATTTTATTAAAATATTTTTTAAACAAGCTGCAGTCATACTTTTCAGTTTTTGCATTCTAAATATATTGCAGTCCTATAACTATGCTCTCATTCAATAGCTTCACTTCATTTGTTCTGTTTACCTAGTTGCAGGTTATCTGACTACTGCTCTCTCCTTGATTGTTGCTGGCTTTTCTGAGATACACAGGAAACATTTTCCTCCAGTGGAACAGACTCTTTCAGGCCGAGTTCTTTCGGTTTCCTCCATGCCTTGTCTCCATCTGGCTCCTCAGTACATTTTACTTGGAGTGGCTGAAGCCCTGGTAACTCCCAGCTGTAAGTAATGTAATCAATAATGTTAGAACATCCTGAATCCTATCACAGAATGACATAAATTCCACATGAACAATTAAAATGACTATCCTATATATTTTTTCACTCCTGGCTCTCTTCATTAGACCTTCTGACCAGATCTATTCCTCACCTGCACTGAAGGAACTTAATTTTTCTTTTTTTGCTGTAGTTCACAGTGCCCAATAATGTCCTGTACAATTTAGAGGAATAAAGAATTTGACAATCCTAGCCAGACCATTGGTTCATTAAGTCTAGTGATCAGTAGATTCAGCAAAGCTGATAATTTGACTAGGCTAACTCTCCACCCCTTCCATAATTTACCTTCCTACCTGTGCATTGGCATGCTGAACTCCATAGGTTTCTTTCATACTGAGAAGCAGGAGATTTGAATATCTGTATTGTTTTAGATTGCATATCTGCAAATATAGTTAGTATTAAACAAAAAAAAAAGTATGTAACCCTCATTTTAAATGCAGTTCAAATAATTGATTATATGACATCCTTTCACAGTGAATTCCACAGCATGAATGTATTTGGTTCAAAACATTTTCAGAAATATTCAGATATTATATAAGGTTTGGAAATAACTTGTATGTAACAACTACCATTCTTAGGTGCTAGAAAATGAGGGTCACGGTCTGTGACTAAAAAGGAATTTTCTAGTTTTTATACTTAGCACTTCCATAGCACCACTTCATCCAATAGATCTTAAGCACTTAACTAAGGCAGGTATACATGGTTTCTAGGTTACAGGCTAAGTACAACAGAAAACAGTAACCTTCACTACTTAGTTTAACAAAGAGAGGGTTAAGATGTGCCTGGATCATGGTCTATATGCACCTATCAGAGAGAAAAATATCTGGTAGCAGGGAGCTCTTTAATGTAGTACATTAAGGTGTTAGAAGTTCCAGTTCTGGAAAATGAAAATGGGTAAATTCAGACTAGAAAGAAAGCTCAATTTTTTTTTAAGTGTGTGACTAATTAACCTTTAGAACAACTCACCAAGGGATATAGTAAATGTTCCATTTTGTGAGTCTTTTTAAATCAAGGCTTCCATGTCTTTCTCTTGCCCTACTAGGAATGGCCTCGTGATTATTCTCTGGTCTGTGTTATGCAGAAAGTCAGATAATATAAGCATCATAATCTCTTGTGGTTTGAAGAAATATGAAGTGGGATTAAGACAGAAATGTTTAGAGGTGTACATTAATTCTGGGCATTTCAATTTTTGAGTGCTCAAAATGAGGGCTTGGTTTGATATGCTAAGTCCCTACGGCTCCTGAAGACAGCATTACTCCCATTAGACAATATATTTATGTCCTATACATTGTCTTGCTGCAAGAGAGTCTTGTGGTCTTGTCTCTTTTTACTTTTAACAGATAGATCTGTTGCCAGACTGACTTCTCTATGTCAATTATATAAAAAATCATATTTAAAAGACATTAATATGGCAAAAAGTAAAAGTCTTAAATTGAAGACATGCTAGCAAGTTTTCAGTCTATCCTGTGTACTACATGCAGAAGAGGACTTGTGGGATGTATTCATGTATTTAACTGTCCCAGTGCATATCCACCAGAGGACTGAATGAAAATTTCAGAGGTTTCTGAGATTTTGCAAACTTAATATTCATTAATTATTTTTTTAACTTCCTAGGCTTTTTATAAAAGAAACTGAAAAACCATTGATTTAATGTTAAGGAAGCTTACCTTTGTTTCATCAATGAAAGAGCTTCTATAGGGTGAAAGAGAATGCATAAACAGTTATAATATGTCTGCAACCTTATGATATATTCGCACCCTAGTTTATCCTGCAATTTGTTCCTGTACCCATCTTCTAAGAGAGTATTTCTGTGGAAATGACTATACCAAGCATGAACCAAGCAGCCCACAGTGGCCATTTTTATTCCAAGGTGCAGAAAAAGGAGTGAAATTAGGAAATGATTATTCCTTTGTTAAGTATGCAAACCCAGTGATTGTATTTACTGTGACTGCAACGCAGTTCAGCGTTTTCAGTGCTCTTCTAAATCCTACCATTTGCCCTCAACGTTGCAAAGTTCAACCACTCTTACAACTAAACAAAGAAGCTAAGCTTAGATGTAAATTGGGTTGTAGGCTGCCAGTTTGATACAGTATTTCTGCTGGGATCAGGTTAACACAAGCCCTGAATCAGTTCAGTAGGAAAAAGAATTCTGCAAGGAATCCATGGCTACCTATAGCTTTATTCAGCAATAATTCTAAAAGTGTTGTTACAAATTAGTTCTATGTGGCAGTGCCATTAGGGTTATTTATAATCTCAGAGATTTTGTGGGGTAATTTCAAGTCTGCAAAGAAATATTCCTTTGTTGAGTATTTGTTGTTTGATGGTTTATAACACATTAAATTCGTCAGATCTTTAAAATACTAAACTATGTTTAAAATATTTTTGATAGTCATGGCTAAAGACGTGAAAAGATGGAAAGCAAAAACTAGAGCAAGGATATATAGAAGCACGAGGAAGCATGCCCACCCCTTGCTCATAAATTCACACATGGCAAAATCTAAACTCAAGACAATGTAGCTACTTTAGAGGAAGGATCTAAGCTAGTTCACATTGTCCATCAGACTTGAGGGGCGGGGAGGGGGGTGTTGTTTGTTTGTTGTACCTCTCCAAAAACTTTGAGGTATACACAATAGGGGAGAGGAGACTGCTCTGCTGCAGGATTATGCTGGAGGAAAGGGGGTGTTGGTAGCAAATTACAGCCTGGAGCAATCGCCTCTCCTAACCCTTCATATTTGTTCTTCTGTAAATACTGCACTTGCTTACTGTGACTGTTTTGTTAAACAAACAGTTACCACTTCTGCAGTGTCTGATGCAGTAACCACCTGTACTACGCCGTGCTTTAGTACTTCCAAGTACTAAAGCACAGTGACATGTAGACATACTCTTTATGCCTGAGTGTTTCAAAGTTCTTTGCAAATGACGAGACTCCTAAAAATCAGCTCTGTTAATTAAGGGATATATTGGGGATCACTTCACTCACTGAAGAAATGAAGTAATCTCTATGGTGTAATGAAGTAGCTGTTCAATAGCTCACAACACCACTGTGGCTAGGTACAGGTACAGATATTCAAAAAGCCTAAGGTGGAATCATTCTAAGTTGCAAGGTTTTCTGTAAGCAGCGTAGTTTAGATCAGTAGTGAAGAGAACGTACGTTCACTTTTTGGGGGGGAGAAAATCTTAGATCAGGTTCTACCAATTTTAAACTAGTCTGTGTGCACCAAACTTCTGCTCTGTTATGGATATAAACTGGTTTCTGATCTCTTATACCTGTAAAAGTGTAATGTCTGCATCTGATCTCTGGGAGAAGCTAAGAATGCAGTATGCAGTT